CTGGAGGAAGGGGATAAAGGCGCTCGTTGCGTGCGGGTGTGCTACTGCGGGGCTAGTTTTGATACGGAGGAAGGGGACATGTCCCGCCTGTCCGCGCGTGTTCGTTTCGACGCAAACGCGGCCCAAAATTAGGCCGGGAATGGGTTGAAAGCGAACCGAAAACGAATGCTGATCTGTTTGCTCCCGCGCGTTGGACCGTGTTTTGTGTCCATTTACCCCTAAGCGGACACGGCCGGACAATGCGGGGCGTTGCCCTAATCGACGGCAGGAAGAAGAGGAATGGATTTGATGTGGTATAAAAAAAAAGCGAGAGATAGCCCACCAGATCAACAGCGAAGAGGACGCACGCATTGCCTGAAAGGAAAAGAAACTTCAGAGAAGACGCTGTAGGGTCTCGCAGGAAAAAAATTGTAGACGCAGGGAGTCGCCAGAAAAGGCGAGGAGGCGTATTCGCCGTGCAGGGAGCGACATGTCGGGCCTCGGCGCGGCCGGCCTCGCGTGCCCATTTCTGCAGCGGGGAGCGGCTCCACCCCATTCATCGTCGTCATCATGGCCGTCTCCATCGAACCGTCCGGCCGGATTTCTCCATCCATCAGTCAGTCCGTCCGGCGCCGGTCACCTTCACTATTGCTTTCTTTCCCATCTCCAGTCCCCACCGACGCCGCTGCAGCGGCATGCAGCAGCTCGGCCTGGTTTGCGCCCGTCCGTCCGTGCGTCCTTGCCGCGCTTCCCGATTTTTTCGCCATGCCGTGGCCTCCGCCGTACCGCGCTCGTCGGGTCGGGTGCTCGAAACGTGGCACTGTGGCAGGTCTCAGTAATGGCAAGCGGTGCATCGGAATTGCCTCTGGGCGGGGCACAGCGCTGGTGCAGATCAAAGCTGAGGGCAAACTCTGTACCATCTTGCATGAGTTTACTGTATGTACTCCTGGAGTACTTAATAAAATGTTAAAAGTTACTACTGGAGTATGGACGTACGTACCAAGTACTACAAACTTCATTGCTTGAAGGACGGTGAAGGAATCATGACCGCTAAAACTCGGCAATCAAGAGGACACGTGATAAGAAAAACACTGCAAATTCGTCCAATGAGAATAGACAGGGTCACTGGTTGAGGGGTTAAGATTTAGAAGAGTGATTGTACTCTCAGCCTGCTGGGGATCAAACATAGGTGCTCGACGCTATGTGGGTCTAACTGAGATAACTCAGAGCATCTTCAACCGCCGCCCAACGCGCGGCACGCTAAAAACAAGTTTGCAGCAAGCCCATCGTCTGGATTGGCGCGGCGGGCAGCGCTGGCTCCAGCAGCCGCGGTAAAATACAGCGCGCGCGTAGCTCCAGTAGCGCGCGAGCAGCCGGCGCATGCCATATGTTGTATTTTGGACACAAAATGAATTTCAAACATCACAAAACAAAGATATGGCATATAATTTACATCACATAAACAAGTTGATGACTAAAAGTTCATGCCTACAGATTCAAATTCACGCCCACAACATCATCCAACCAAGTTCATGACACAAACGAAAGGCACAACAATCAAGCCTCGTCCTCATCTTCCACTCTCGTTGCGTAGATCAAAGTGTTCTTTTATCTGAAGCCAATAAGTATCTCTACTTTGATCACCTTCAATGGATGGATCCCTCGACACTTCCAACCAAGCTTTACAAAGCAAGACGTCTTCGTCGTTGGTGTAGTTGCATCCTCTTCCTTTCGGTGCATCGACAATGCCCTCGCCATCCTCGTCCATCTTGAACTCATGGTTTTCGAAATGCATGTCATTGGTTTGAGACCAATGCGAATTGTTGGAGCCAACACCCATAGTTGACATGCATGCCTCATCGTTGACACTACAAAGTATATAGGACAATGCAAATAAGCTATCTATATTATGCATTCAAAAAATAACAACAACAAAAAAGTTGGCAAAATTTTATACCTTTGGGGCATTTCCACGAACACATTGTGCGCGTCGGCCGCCGGCTCAATAAGTGAGCTCGTCGGCCCCGGCTCAATAAGTGAGCTCGTCGGCGCTTCGGTAGCCGTCGCGCCCGTCGCACGCCCTGCAAGCTTTTTCCTCGACGGTTTCAAGGAGCCGGAGACGTCCGCCGCCTTGTTCTTCTTCGCAAATGTCTTGCCCTTCTTCGGCCGCGCCGCATTTGGGAGTTTCGCGAGGGGGAACGTGGCTTTATGGCGGTCACCGGCACGACGCCACCCGCCGCTGAGGTCATCCGCGGCGGCATGAAGAGGCCACGCGCGATGCCAGCGCTCGGAGGAGCTCCGGCGGGACCGAAGCCAAAGCTCCCCGCGCTAGGGTTTGCGGCAGCGGTGGAGGGGTCGCGGCTGTAGGAAGGGGTGAGGGGGGTGCCGGCGCGGGCGTCCATCAGGTCACAATTCACTGGCAGCAGCGCGTGCGGGGCGAGGGTGGCGCGGCGGAGAGAGTGCGGTGCGAGCGCTCGAGAGTGTGCCGCACGCGAAAGCGGGCGCACCAAATACATAGCGCGCGATGGCGGTTCGGACCGCGCACCCAACTCTATATGTCGCACGCGCGCTTATTGCGTGTCCGCTGGAGCCCCTCTGCCGGTTGCGCGCGCTAAAAATGGCAAATTTGTAGTGCGACGCTCATTTAGCGTGGCTGTTGGAGATGCTCCGAATGTAGATTATTGCTTGGAACCAAGTGAGTTGGCACCGGAGGCAAGAATCCCATTATTAACAGTTAAACCTAGATTCAATGATTCCCCTTGTTGGAAGAACATTATGAAAGTGAAAGAGAAGGTAGTATATATTTAGCTGGCAGAAAAATTGTACTCCCTCCATTCACAAAAATGAAGGTGTGCATTGGCTCGAGGGACCAGTGGACGGTTTTTGCGGTGAGCGGCGTCTCATGTCACGTATCGATCATGCAGAGTCTCGGCGGCGTGGCGCAGCAGGGTCTCGGGGACGGATGTATGATGATGGACGTGCGTAGAGAGGTGGCGTTGTCTGGTGCCGTGGTGGCATCGACGGCATGCCGGACAATGTCGATGTGTCAATACCTGTTCTGAAGATGGATCGGTGGAAGACGGCGAAGGCTACATCCGAGAGTGCGTCGGACCGGTGTGTGTCTCACATTGGGCAATGGCTTGGTTGGGCATCCGGTTTTAGATGTTAGACCTTAGTGTGATGTATGTTTGGTTTCGGATCGGACAATTGGCACCCCTTCTCAAGTGGATAGGAGTAGCGACAAATGTTGTCAAGATGGTGGCTTCAGACTTACTGATGTATTATTTTATAAGGTCTTTATGAATAATTAATAAAATGGTTGCATGCATCGTCTAGATGCAGAGGCCGGGGGTCTTCCTCCTTTAAAAAAACAAATATAAGATATTTTGCATATCGTCACCCTAACAAACCTCAATCTCTATCCACCACTGGGTCGATGGTACCGAGACTGTCTTGTGGTCGACGATAGAGATAACATTGAAAGGGGTTATGAAAAGACACAGATTTAGGGGGCGATTTGCGAATGTTTCAAGACGTGTGGGCGGCGTGTGCCTATGGCGGAGGTCCTCGACGAAGAGCGAGCGGCAGCGCTAGGGTCGCCGTCGCGAGACCGGGCAGGCGCGCATGCACGCGTCGTTCGTCTCCTACACACAGCGCACGATTGGGAGAGGAGGGAGGAGGCGGTGGTGGCCAAGCGGTGCGAAGGTGACCCGACATGGTGGGAGCTGCACAAGCAGCTCCTCTTAAATACACATTGTTGATATAATTATGGTGGTTTTGTGCATTTTACTCTTAAATATACACTTTTGCTTGTGGTGTGACAGAAAAATATTATACTTTGTACCATGGTCATTTCCTCTTTTAATCATATCAATCAAGATTTATACTCCTCCGTTTCTAATTATAAGTCTTTTTAGATACTCCACTATGAACTACATGTAGATGCATATAGACATATTTTTTAGTGCAGATTCATACATTTGTTTTCTATGTAGTCCATAGTGAAATCTCTGAAACGAGTTATACTTATACTTAGGAACGGATTTAGGAACGGATTGAATGTGTTTTTTATTGTATGTAGGATTGAACACCAATCTGTTTTTTTTAGCAAACATCACTCTGTTCCAGCCCATCAGACAAAAAAAAAGCTACCTCTGCGGGCTATGGGCCATCAATTCGGCGGGGTTGCTGGCGGGCTGTGACGATCCATTATCCTAGGCCCACGAGGCCTAAACCCAACCCCCAACTCCCCGAAATCCCCACCTAGAGCAGTTCTTCTTTCTCTGCAAGGCAAGCGGCGGCAGATTCAAGACGAGATACCTGGTCCAGAATCCAGATACCCACCTTTCTTCTTCCTCTGCAAGCCGGGGCAGATTCACCCACTCCGTACAGCAGTATTCCCTCGTCCCCCGCCGATCGGACTGGGAAAGCGAGAGCGAGATGCCGACGCTGACGAAGCTGTACAGCATGAAGGAGGCCGCCCTCCACAACACCCCCGACGACTGCTGGATCGTCGTCGACGGCAAGGTAGCGCCGCCGCTAGCGCCCCCCTCGTACCCCTCGCTGCCGATCTGGCTTCAGCAATAGTGCCCGTAACATCGGTAGGCTGGTTGGTAGGTAGGTAGGTAGGGTGTATGAACGCGCTTCGTCGTTGCTAGTTGGGCTTCGACCCCCGCCCTTAGCCTGTTCGACCGAATGCCTGGGAGATGCCGCGCTCGCTTTGTTGGTGAGAAGGCTGCAGAAATCGAGACCGGACGTCTCTGCGAGTGTCGTGGCCTGCTAGTCTAGGCACCAATACTGGGTGGTGGCAATGCAAGGTTTAATCCTCGTGGGACAGTTGTGCTGGGGTATCTTATTTGTGGAGGTTGCTTTCCTTTGTTGAAAGCAACCACAGCAGATGCCTCTGTTGAGGGCTTTGAATCAAATAGAATTTGTGTCAGCAGACAGAGAATAGATACGCATTGCAGTACTTGGCAATATGTTCCACTACTCTGATTGTGTGGCGAGCTCATGCCCTGTTGATGAATACAATGCAGATTTATGATGTGACCGCGTATTTGGATGACCATCCTGGGGGTGCTGATGTTCTGCTTGCCGTGACTGGTACTACTTCTCGCCTCTTGTTTTCATGTTCTTGTTCAGCACATTTTATTTCCTCATAGGCTGTCTGCTCATACATGATAATCTGTTTCAAGGTATGGATGGCACCGACGAATTTGAAGATGCGGGCCACAGCAAGGATGCCAAGGCGTTAATGAAGGATTACTTCATTGGGGAGTTGGACTTGGACGAAGCACCTGACATGCCTGAGATGGAGGTTTTCAGGAAAGAGCAGGACAAGGACTTCGCCAGCAAGCTGGTGGATTACGCTGTGCAGTACTGGGCCATTCCGGTAGCAGCAGCCGGGATATCAGCCGTGGTTGCCATATTGTATGCACGGAGGAAGTGATGACTGGTTATAGGTTGATTGAAGAACCATTTTGGGGTAACAAACACATTTATAGCTGGTTATGGATGGAGAGATTATGTACTTCTGTCCAAAGGCGGAGACACTGTATTGAGCCCATAGGTACTTGATTCAAATATTTGTCTACAAAATTGGTGGTACTATTTTTATTAATATGTCATTCAATGGATGGATTCATTTCAAGACCTGAACCATGTGTGTGATGTAAACCCTCTTACTCCTTGAGGCAGCTTCTGGCACGGATTTCTTCCATGACATTACTGCTTCTATTTTTGTTATTTTCCTGGGACGAGCCACAGTACTGCTGTTTCTGGATATTGTGAATTTTCAGTCTCTCACTTGCTCCTGAATGACCCTGAAGACTTTTGTGTAACGTGTTCTTTTGTAACTTTCAAGATGCAAATTAGGATTTGTTGGCCCCTCCTTTCGAGTCGACATTTGTTGAAAGCTTCCCGTGCAAGCATTTCATCCATATGTTTTCCTATTCGTTTTTCTTCCCCTTGTGTCACCTCGCAAGGTGTAGATAGTTGGGCAGTAGACTTCAGAAAGATAGCAGGTAGCTTTTGCCGCCCCCTCTCTTGATATTTCTAAACTGGGGATGCTTCGCCATCATCACTAGGTAATAGTTGAAGAAATTTTATCATGTGCTACTGCTGTGCTTAGTAACCTAAGGACCTGGATTCGACACAACCTCTCTGCATTGCATTGTGCATGGTAAGGCTTGCCTTGTATAATCCTTCCCCGGGCCTCACCTGGTGTCGGAGCTTCTAGCACTTGGTCTGTCTTTTTTTTGTACTGCTTAGTAACCTGGAAATGTACACCTTACCTGATAGTGCAGAGGTGTCACTTGGAATGGATGGTGTTGCTTGAAGGCGGAGCAAAAACCAACATGTGGAAGGTGGTGCTGAGGTTCTCAACCTGGGGCTTGCTTGCAACTGCAACCGGCCAACAAACCAACAGCTACGGGTGAACCATCTCACTGATCCTTCCACTGCACTGCATCTTTGACTCATGGGTATATATGCCAGGCCATAGGCACCATATGTCCACTGATCTCTGATACTCAGCAGAGGCAACACTGTGAAGCTTCCAAGCCCAAGCAATAGCATGGCTCCCTTCAACAATGGCAGGTCATGCTTCGTTGCAGATGAGGATGTTTCCAAGGGCTTGGAAACAGCGTCCTTCAAAAGGTAAATTGTTTCCAGGATTTCTTATGCTGCTATATATCCAGACTTGTTCTGTAATTTGTAGTAACATTGTTATGTTTCGGTTTCTTTGCTCTGAATGATACAAGTTCCTCTTGTTTGATTAGTAACATTGCCTAATGACTATTGATCGAAGAGTTCCTTCAAAAACTATTGATAGAAGATATTTTTAGATCATCGGGGAGGTTTGGTCCCTGGTTCCATTACTAGAATGAAATTTGGGTAAGCGAGGTCAGTTTTGTACGGCCTCATCTCAAACAGAAAAATCATTTAGCGCCATCAATCTGTTCTCCAAACTAACCGCAGATGAGCATACCATTTTCATTCAGAAGAATGAAAGTAGACGGGCATGTCTTGTCGTCCTCAAAATGGTGCTATTTTGTGGCACAACAGCGCAGCATACAAGCAGTTTACCTCTTTGAATTCAGAAGCAACCTTTTTTTTTTTGAAACAACTAGCCTCCCCTCACCAATTTCCTCTCAAGAAACCGACGTTCTTACAACATTCAAAAGAGAGAAAGCATAAGAAAACCTGGAGCGATATACCCAGGGCTGTTTGGGCATCATCAGGCAAGCCGAACATCTGGCTTTCAGGTAACCGCGCAGGTCCTGAAAACCAGCTCACACAGCAGCAGTTTCTTCAGAACTTTTCAGCAGAGCGTTTTGGCACTCGCACACAAATTGGAACAAGTCTTGTAAAGCAGACTAAGAGCTTATCACTCGAGGAAGAAGAAAACAAGGCAGTGTAGTAGAAACCATCCACCCGTGATTCTGGGAACCGCAGGGCCCCATCCATGGCTTCTGTTGTAGATCTACCGCACCACCTGCCTGATCTCCACAGCGAGCTCAATGCTTCCTGCTTTTAGGTTTGTCTACAAGATTTCCCAGTTGGTGAGATGACTGCAAAGATGGAAGATAACTGATGCAGGATCATTAGGCATTTTCTTATCAAAACATGCTGCAGTTCTGGTTTTCCATATTGTCCAGCATAGAGCAGTCCCTCCACTTGCAGGTTTTTCATGCCCTATTTGCTGTACATTATAGTTTTGTGATCTTAGGTACGTTCATGTTCAGCCTAGCCTGAGTGTTGTCCTGTGCTTCTTTTGATTCTTGTTGTTGCCCTGTGCTTCTTTTGATTCTTGTTAACTCTTGCACGTGTTTGAAAACCAGAGGGATCAGGAAAACAATGCTAGATTATCTCAACCAACAGCATCCTCTCAGTTTAACAAATTGTACAAAACATTATTGTGTAACTCATACAATCACTACAAGAAAGGCAGTCATATAATTCAATTAAAATGTCTGCGTCTGCTATAAAATACAGAAGGTGCAACCATAATTACCTAAGTTCCAGTAACTAAGTTCACCAAAGTTTCGTGGCCAGTATATACCAGAACAAGAAATACATTTTCAGCCCTTTTTAACTTACAAAACACACACACGTATCAGCTTTCCTCAGCGCGGCACCCATGTCTTCTATGCAACCGTGGAATTGAATGAACAAATGACCTGTTGCCGCGCACCTCATGGAACATGACAGCGACTTGAAGCTCGCTGGATCTCTTGTAACTCATTCATCAGACATAATAAGCCAGCAAAGTAGCCATCGCAGTCCAGAATACCAAGAGTGGGAGTGTCCATGGTTGTTTTGTTAGAGGGCTTGCACTAGGCAACCATGGATAATCATCGGGAGACGGCATGACACAGTTATCACCATTGAAGTACACACGCCGTGGAAACGCCCATCCTTTTTGGAAGGTAAAAGTCTCTGAGTCCTTCCGCATGAGTAGCTCTGACTGCGCGTTTCCAAGCGGACCAGCTTGATTGAGCAAATCATTGTAGAACTTCATTCCCCAGAACATTGCGGTGTCATCTGAAATGGGAAGGATAAACACGTCAGATAGGAGGCACATCTCAAGTCAGAAACCAATTAAAACAGTTCACAAGGTGACTTACTTATGCGGCCTCCATATGGGGTAAGTGGCTTATAGTTGAAGCTGAACAGCTTTGTGATATTATCGAAGTTAGGATGCTGGGCAACCATGTTCCAGTCTGTATAATTCATGCGGTAGTTGAAGTTTGTGATGGTGACTTTCACTCTCCAGTAGTCCTTGTAGTTGAGCTTCACATGCCAATGGATCCTTATCGGGCACATGTGGGAAGTACATTGGACAAGAGGCTGGCCGGTTAATTTGCCAGGGCCATTGATGGCAGATTGCAAATAAGGCGAATTGTCACTGTAAAATGGATAGAATTAGTAAGGAATTTGCAGAAAGTTGGAAACTTAATAGGAAGCATAGTAAAAAGTAATAATTATTAACTCACTTTACACAGCTTCCTGGACGAGTAATATTGTTTTGGCAGCCGCAAGAGCACGTTGGGCAGTTCACGATAGTGTCATTATAAAACGATGAGAGAGATACACAGCAGGTTGGAGTCTTCTGAGCAAGAAATTGGGAGTATGTGCAGGTTACATTCCACGACACTGCCAATAGAGAATTTTTTGGTTAATACCCACTAAATAAAGAACATTATCAGCAATAAAGCATAAAAACTATATGCAACCAATCTGATGTTTCCTGCATTTGACATGCATTATTTGCAAGTGAACAAAACTAGTTAAGATATTATCAGGCTTAGCGGTGGCTTATTTTAAAATAAATATCAGCTAACATCGATCCTAGGTGATGAACTCATCTCTCGAAAATGAATCACTTCCCGTTTCAATCCTTTCAATCTTTCACTAATCCTACACATATTATAACATAAAATCCATTCACAATTAAGGAGCAGAAACATACAAAAGTGGTACTAAGATGTGTTTAGCTCAATTAGTGTAACTTGCTAATGCATTTGTGCAAAGTATTATAGTAATATAGAGCAAGCAGTGAAGAGCAATAAGTGGGCAACTTACTGAGAGCTTGGGTTACCCTGCGCCCGTCTGACGAGTAATACTTGGTAGGCCTGCCAACAAGAGCACGCCCACATGTGTACCCCGGACCAGGGGCCCTAAGGGTGAAGTTTTTCGGCATCTTAACCGTCTTATTGGTAGTCCCAGCAAGACCTACACTAATCTGGAAGGAGGATGCTGCATTTCCTGGGTCCTGGTTAAATGTCTTGATAACTCCTGCCTTGCAACAATTAGCAATTTGCTGGTTGAATGGGGTGCCCGGAAGAAGATCGACAATCGTTGGATCTCTCTTGCAGCAATGGGGAGGGGCACTCTTGAATTTTGAGCAATCACCCTGCTCAGTAGCCTGAGCCCCCACCATCGACCAGATAACCTCTTTCTTTGCCCACGACCACCCCAGCTGCCACCCAGGTGCAGGTATGTGTCGGAACTGCTGGTAGTTGAACATTGTGACTGTTGCCTGCACATGACAAGTTTGGGAAAAAAAGATCATGATACAAGTAGAGGTGACCAGATATCCAAAATCTGCTGGTAATTGTACTTGGTGGCTATTATATTGTTTGTGGCAAAGTTTGTAACCAATTATTAGCCATGCTACTCCCTCCGTAAAGAAATGTAAGATCATTTAGATCACTGATGGGAGTAGTTGTCAAGGTCAAATCATGAGCTAATAGGCTAATAGGTTGAGATGAAAGACAGAGCTGTTGATGTGAAGAGGTGCTACTTACAACATAACCATCAGGAGTCCACGAAATAATATCCCATTTTATGGTGATGTTGCCATTTGGATCCAGCGAATCATAAGCCTCTGCGTGAACAAACAAACAAAGGGTGCATACATCAGATACATATATTGAAACAAAAACA